GGTTTCAGTGAAAAAAGTGGATATGTTCCGGTAAGGGGTACCATATGGTGCAGCAGTTGTCACCGTATACAGAAATTTCAATTCCTATATGTGAATTATTCCGATTCTGCTTTACACCCACCCGGGGTTTTTCCCTGCCAAGAACTGAATAACTGTGGATAATAGGAACTGTCGCTCTATATGCCATCCCCCCCCCCTTATTGGATGAGGCTGAACATATTTGTCATGGTTTCAAGCGCGTCGGGCTCTGTCCTGTCCCCCCCCCCTCCCCTCATTTGTCCCTACCCAAACAATTCTGAATGTGATTCACGTTTTTTTTTAATGTAACGCTTAAAATAGCTGTACTCGTGCAGTTCGCTTTTGCATGAGCGTGGCTCGTAGGCAGAAACCAATGATTCAAAATGCTCTTTGGACTCAGCCCTTTACCGCCTCTGCGCTCTCTAGCGGGTCCCTCTCCTCTCCAAGGCTTAGTCCTAGGGCATTCTCTAATCGTCTGTGCTCTAGCCATCGCGGCAGGACCATTGAGGAAAAATCAAGTAGTCCGTAAACCGTCATGAGTAGACCTGGAGTTCCTACAGCGAAAAATGTTTCGCGCTTAAAACGCGAAAAAGTCGCTTTCTGTCATAGTGAGCCACACCCTTTCTGTACTAGCGAGCTACACCCATGCTCTTTCCAGCTACACTATTTTTCGTTTGCAGTGAAAAGTTTTGAATCGGTCTGTTGCAGTGTCGCAGGTAGCTTCCGCCTGAAAGAAAATGTTTCGCAATCAGTACGATAGCGATGTAACAGTGTGGAGTCCTCAGGTATTATATTTTTTTCTCTTCGTGCGTAGGTGAATGGATACAGTGCAATAGAGGCAGGCTAGCCTTTTCCTGTCTTCATACGCACCTAATTACGCTATTTTTTCTGGTTTTATAATTCGAAGTGCTGTATAATAAGACGTTAAAATGAAACAAACGACAGGTCATGGAAGGGTATGAAGGCATGAAGATGCGGGTGTTTTCATTTCTTGCTATCACCGTCTTCAAAATATAAAGTTTTGCTTCGCTGTAGTCGAGCTCAATGCGGCACACAGTAATTGCTCCAACTTGCAACAGTTAACAGTTTCTTCAGTCGATTTGATAGTGGACATTTTCTAGAGATAATAGCTCTGATTGTGCGAGACCACTGCATATCAGCGTCCCAGATATCCTCGTGGTGGTCCACGATCCATCAGATGTCGGTCGGACTCTGCGATTGCATCGCGAGATGCAATCGCAGAGTCCGACCGACAGTCTTGCAATGTGCACAAGCGACGGCGATTAGCCCCGCCCACATCGATGCAGTCGACATCGCTCTAGGCAGAGCGATTGCATCGCGCGATGCAATCGCAGAGTCTGGCCGACATCTCATGGAGCTCATCCCTTGCAGCATAACCGTGGACATTCCTTCGTAGCCCGTGTAAAGGGTTATTATGAAGAGGAATTGATTGGAAAATTCAAATGTGCGCTCTCATTCCGTTAGAAACACCGGTCATGCGTTCTTCTGTTGTGGATAAGACGATCTTAAGAGAAACGCATTCCATTCCCAAGACCTCTGGGAGAGCAAAGGACCAAATTCCATCGTGCATGTTTTGCCAAGCGAACACCCCCAAAGCGGCAAACTGTCCGCGATATCCCACAATATCCGATAGGCGCAACATCATGAAAGAACGGAAACTATGCCTCAATCGTGGGAAGCAAGGGCATCTTGTCATACAGTGTTTGAGTAAGGGGTGTTCATATTGCTAGGGCAAAAAACATCATCACACTTTATGCCCATCAGGCGTTGGGGATACCACAACCATCCATGGGGAGTACCCCAAAACCACAACCAATTACGGCAATACCCCCTACTTTACCTAAGCCGATGCGCACTTCACCTAGGGCAACGGAACAGGCTTCGAGAGATGCCGCGCACCCTAGAGAACCTTCCCAGCAGGCTAGAGCGAAAAGGACTCAAGCACACCCGGTTAAAAGTACGTCTTCACTTAATGAACATCAATGTTTCCAAACACCACTAGACGCCGTGCAGGACAGTGTCGTTATGCATCATTCAGAAGCTCGAAGTGAAGACCATGAACAACTTTCCCTCCTCACTGGTTGTGCACAAGTGTGGAATACAATCCATACCAAATGGAAGGAAGTTGAAATTCTGCTTGGTACCGGTGCAGATAGGTCGCTCATTAGCGAAGCGCTGGCCCAAGATTTAGGGTTAGATACATCACGCGGCAGGGTACTTACCATATACACATTCGGTAGCGAGACCCAAAAATGGCCCAAAGCACTTTGACTAAGCTGGATATATGGGACACAGAAGGGCATCACTACTCCCTCAATTTATAAACTGCGCAAAATCTAACCGGAACAAGTAAAGCGACACGCTTATCGAAAGAAGGCATGAACTTCATCAGTTACCACGGTATCAAACTATCTCGACCTTCCCGTGCCGATGCCGATGCACCATTAGGCGGTTCGCGTGGCAGTATTTCGAGATATCTTTGAAGAACAGCCCAACCGCCTTCACCGGCTTCGAGTCTGTCAAAATGTGATTGACTCAGTTTCAACACATTGACGACAGCGCGAGTTTTGGCTTTGCCGCGTAGGACCGTCGCGATTTTGCGAGCGCGGCTGCAGGGTCATTCAAGCAGATTTCGGAGTGATAAATACACACTCATGATTGGTACACAACTTGATTAGTAATTTTCAGTGGCACAAGCTACCCAGGTGTACAGTATTGGAATTTCGATCAAAAGACTTATCTAGCTGCAGATCTCAAAAGCGGTTTAATATTGATTGTTGTAATCTGTAGTTCTACTCCTGTTTTAAACTTCACATTCATAAAAGTAAGGAGAAAAGGTTCACGAAGAGATGAACTGAAGGTTTCGTAATGTCCTCCTCTCAGTCAAAGCACACGCGACCATTCTATGGGCCGCTATGCTTGTAGTTATGCTAAGTTCTCCCATGAAATAAATACAAAAAACTCAATATGAATTAGGTAGCGCGAAGAAAAATGAGCGTAATGAGTGCGTGAAACCTATATCCCCGCGGTACGATATGGCCTGCAGTGCGCGAGATAAATGCTCGCCGCTTGTCATCAATGCGTTAAATTTGAGAGCGAATCTTTTTCTGGTTCCGTATACCCTTTGGTTCCTGTACATCACATCACATCACGACGATCTTAGGCTAGTGTCGGAGTCCGCGACCTTCGGAGGTTTCGCTGATTTCAGCGATTTCCGCGATTTGCGCTCAACTTGCGATGAAAGAGAAGATGAAAGAGAGAAGAAAGAGAATTCATCAAATCTTCAGGGGTTTATCTTTATATACAGTAGAACATAACAATTCATTACTAGAGAAGATGCTCGGAAAGAAGTCCTCCGGCGGCGATACAGGCTTCAAGTCTCTTCTCAACTGACATCACCGTGGGCCGCAAGCAGTTTTCGTCGAGTTACTTCAACGCTTCCTCCTAGGAAGCCTTCAGGAAGTCCAAACTTCGATGTTGCCTAGAAGGCATCTTCTGCTGCAGGAAGCCCCACACCGCAAAATCCATTGGGTTCAATCGGGTGAGTTAGATGGCCAAACATCTGGTGACCAGTAACCTGGAAAATGGCGGTCACAGAACACCAGCGTAGATTTTGCGGCATGGGGAGGCGCCTAGTCTTGCTGAAGAAGGCACTGACATTTGCTGGAGGTCGAAACAGTCCATGGAAGGAGCACATCACGTAAAATTGTTTCCTGGTAGATCTGGGCGTTAATTTTGACGGATTTGTCCACAAAGACAAGCGGTGTCTCGGTGTCGGAAGTAATTCCTGCCTAAATCATGACAGATTTTGGAAATCGGCTCCTTGTGTGCGCACGACGTCGAGCAGAATGCCTGCTAGCCGGATCCAACAATTGCCTGTCCTTTTGAGAATTGTGCGCCAATTCCAGTGTGATGATCTTCTCGCGTCACGTTGACGTCACTTACTTGCGGCCCACGGTGATGTCAGTTGAGAAGAGACTTGAAGCCTGTATCACTGCCGAGGGAGGCCATTTCGAGCACCTTCTTCAGTGATGCATTGATATGTTTTACTGTATAAAAATAAACTTCTGAATATGTAATAGTTTCTCTTTGCAAAAATATGGTCAATAAACCATGCGCCAATATTTAGTAGCCACCCTGTATATATTGAAATAACGAAGTAGGGAGTTTCAGACTATTGTAGATCATCCAGCTGTATGGGTTCCTATGCTATTCTTCCTCCGGAAGCAAAGTTCCCTGCCACTTACTCTTTGGTGCTGAAGACACCCTCTGCTGTTGAAACATTACCGTCAGGGGACTCTCGCTGTTCAAACTGTCACAAGATACGTACCAGCAATTTCAACAGCAGGCTGACTGTTGCTATAGTACCTCCGGTCCCTTTTTCCTTAAATAGCGTTTGCGATGTCTTCTAAGGGAAGAATAGAACACGATCCTTTGATTCAGCCATGGCAGTGCTTGTGTGAGTTTGATCACAAAGTTTGAATCGCGCTCGCGTCACCCGCAGATCGTAATTGCGAGATTTTCAAGTACTCACACGGGAGTCTCTCAGGACATGGAGCGCACTTCTAGAATAGTTCTTGTATGTTGTAGAGACTCATGCAAGGATTACAAGGAATACTCATGCAAGAAATCGTGATTCATTTTTTCATTTTCCTTGCAAAAATTAGTCGTCGCGGAGGCTTTGGATAACTTCTTCACCACTGTTTTGGCATTCCTAAGCATTCAAAAAAATGGTTCCACGCATGCGCGTACAAAATGCAGACAACCATTTTGAAGAAAATGTCAGTTCAACTGGAAAACTCCCTTGTCAATCTTCTAATGTGGCACAAGATTCTTTCCGACTGACGGGCTCGTTAAAAGATGTAAAGGAAGTTAAAAAAAAACGACAGCAGCAGGCGCTTGAGATCGATTATCTGACTTTTTAGGGTCGCCTGCACCAGGTGGATTATGCTGTGGAAGCTATGAAACAAGGTTCAGCTACTGTGGGCATCAAAAGCCAGTCGCACGCTGTTCTGGCAGCTCTGAAGGTTTCTGTTTGGTTTTTGGAACTTTTTTAGTAGCATTTCAACAAATTTTGTGTTTCTGGCTTTTTACAGCATGGGTTTGTGTAGCTTCTTATAAGTAGTAATGATGCACAATATCGGCATGGCACTTGAAATATTTAATTTATACAAGTCACGCTGTTGAATATCTTGTCTTGCCTTCATCATGAGAAGTTCGACGTTTGCTGAAGGCATGCTTTTCCGAGGTAGTCTTTGCTTACGTCGTTAACAACTTGGATGCGAAATAGCGTTCCTTCAGTTGTTGCTGTTGTTGCCGTCGTGTCATACACTTCTATCGTGAGGTAGTTTGAGGCAGTTGTTACTTTGGCAAATGTCTGATTCCTTCACCGTTGCGAGAACCATTTATACGGCTTTAGCGGAACGACGCGTTTCACAACAATCGTATAGCATCCTGTTTTGCTCTTAGTTCTGAGGTTTTGTGTCATTCTGTGTCAGCTTTTTCAATGTTTTGGATCAGACTATCCTCTCAGAACTTATTTCAATCTTAGAAGAATCTGTCTGCGCAATGGTCTCTATTGCTGAAAGGATCTAGAGTTACGTTGTAGGGGTGAAAACGGAAGTTTGACGGGGCCACCTCATTGCGATGTGCGTCTCTAGTGCTATGGATATATCTAGTGGTTAAGATAAGAGTTTCAAAGGGATGGTGGTGATGTCCTTCATCCTACATATCCTGTTCAGTTCTTCCCACGTGATCACAAGGGCCGTATTCAATCCTTCCCCCAGGGGTTGGGGACGGAAATCCCTTTAAATTTATTTGTTTTTAACGATGTAGTTTCTTCATTTTCAATGCATGTTTACTTTGACCTACATACATACATTAAATGTAGGCCCTTTATCAGGACAATCCCAGTTGGGAAGACAGAGAAAATTTAAAGGGATTTTCGTCCCCCAACCCCTCGGGGAAGGATTGAATACCGCCCTAGGTCCACTCACACTAGAACTATGCTCAGTTCAATCCTCTTTTTACCCCCTCCCCTTCTCCCACACGCCTACCTAGGCTGGAATGTTCAACCTTCGCTCCGTTCGAGGTTGGCAGCAGGCCCTTATCAAAAATTTACTTTAAATGAGCTTGTTATCAAAATTGTATCCATAACGCTCTTTACACTGATCTTTATCGTTCGAGACGTAAAGCAGAATCGAGTGATTTCTTGAATCTTTTTCACCTATCAAGGGTCACGACTGCGATAGTCTTTTCGTGTTGGAATTCCGAAATGTTTTCTGATGATACATCCTTACACTTATTCAAAATGAATGATAAATATGGTCATGAAAAAATAAAACTAGGTTGTCCGAAGGGTGGTTTCTGTTGCGCAAACAATCATGCCGCTCTTTTTTGAAATTTGTTCTTGCGCCAAAACTCGACGGTTAACCACCACTATTCTCGTTGAATTTAGATCCAAAGTTTTTACGGCCGAGGCGTTGAAAAACTGGCGATTCTTTCAGAGAAAGTGATGACTTTGTCAGAAATGCCACTTATGACTGATTCTTTGATTTTTCAAGGGAAGTTTTTCTGGAGTAACCTGGTGATTCTCGTGGTCAATGGATGCCTTGTGAGGAAAGCTCAAAATTCGACCAATCCTCAACACAGGGATGAGTGGAGCGGAAAAAAGCTTAAAGCAACAGTTCAGGAACGGTTTCGCGGGAAAAAACCACCAATAATGAAGTTGTAGATGAAAACCAGACGATTAATGTATGAAAAACTGGAAAAAAACGTCGGGGAGGGTCTTAGACAGGTACTCTCCCTCTGCCGCTCAGCAATGGATAAAGACGCACGTTGGACGAGTTGTCTGAACGTGCCCGCTGTAAACGCGCTCCATTTTTCAATCAATTTTCCCTGTGGTCCCAAAACGAGCACGATTGCCGACGCGTCCAATGACGGCCGGCAAGGGGGCGGGATTGGGGAAATCCCCAAGAACACCCATGTTTGAGGGACTTTCCACCCTGTTTTTGAGTTTCTGAGGTAAGTTCGTTTATTATTTCCACTGCATATGTTCTTCACTAGGGCTCGTGTATCCCTCAGTAGTAGTGGCATTGAAATTTTCGGACCCTCCCTGAACTGTTGCTTTAACAAGTAATGAAATATAGTATGAAAAGAAGGCGTTTCAGAGAAAATTTCGGTTCAAAGAACCGCTTGTTAGCAGTCAACCAGAAAAGCCAAATTTTAAAACAGGCATGGGAAGGCTTTTTGGAGAGCCTACTAGCGAGATGATTAGTAGATTAGATTTCATGAGAAATTACATGGTACTCAATGATCAATTTCTCATATAGGAAACTGGGCCAGAGCTAGTTGCCGGTTTGGCAATTTTCGTCGACTGCACCTCCTACTCGCGAACCTGAAATTCAGCAAGCTCACATTAATTAAAAAGAGAAGTTTATATTCCTGGAGCAGGCAATTTTCCTTCAAACGGTATACAACGTGGAGTGAAAGCAAGGCTCCAGAGAAGAATTTCTTTTCGAAGGAAAGCGACATTTCCATCGGACAATCCTATAGAAAACCATAAACGAGGGGAACTTGCGTCGCGATCGCGCGGAATACGTGGAGACTAAGGAAACAACAAGTACCTCGGATGCAAAGTGAGAAATGCGCGAAATTTATAAAGTGAGAGCGTAACCGGTTGAATCAATACGTATAGTGTTTTGGTAGCACATTTCGCGCTTTTCACTCATTCTTCGCGAAATGTTGCCTTGCAGTTCCGTAGATAAGTATGAGAAGCGCTCAACGAAACGAGTCATGCCGTGAGCTTGAAGATTTGAAGTTTTGGAGTTTGGGTAACAGAGATGTGCTGTGTGTGTTATGTTGTTAATGTGTTATACATCATTGTTTTCAGCGTGCTCAAAATGAACTTTGTTCACACCAGAAGAAAATTTATGAGATCGATACCCATGCCGGCGTCTCAATCGCTGGTTTACTGTCTGATGGAAGAATTCTCGCAAGGTGATCAATTTGTTTTCCAATTATGTTTCCGCTTAAAATTCCAAAGTTCGCATTTTACTTTGTAATCGGATGTTGAAGAAGGGGGGGGGGCAAGGGATCGTAAAGGAGGCCATGCTCGTAAGGGACTCCCGCGAAACATGGGCGGTATTCAATCCTTCCCCCAGGGGGATATATCCCCCTACTCTGATTCAATCCTCTGGGGGGACAAAAAAGGGTTGCGTCATAGGACCTAGCATACCTCTGTGTT